GCTGTTAGAGGGTATATTATAATTTAAATTTTACAGTTGTTCACCCCCCCCCCCCTGCCATTTTTCAACGAAGTTTTTAGACGTTTTCACAAGAATGACCTCCACACTGAGATTGGCTGGTGGATATATCCTCGCGTGGTCTATTCCGTTCCGGTAAAATGTACAATCCTCTTGACCCCCAATGTCATGCCTGGTAATTATTTGTATGTCTCTGACTTCATGCACGACGGCGCCGGAAAATCAATTGCTACATTATCACTGATGCCACGGATCAGGGCCGGCCGACGCCAAGATGGCCTTCAGGACATTAGAACGGTGGACAAGCTTAGGTCCAAGTTTTTGGCGTACGTGCACTATTGCAGAGACTTTACAACATGCCGTTGGGGCAGGAATATATTGTCTTACGTATATTAATACCACTTACGGAGAGTAGTTTTTATATGCAGAGACTTCCATTCCTCCTGGCCTTGGCCCAGAATATTCTCCGATGATAGAGTTAATCACCGATAGGGGGAGGCCTAGCTGACCCCCTCTACTCGTGCGCTCCACGCACGTGATACACTTTGTATTTCTCGGCCTGGCTGGAAGCTCAGAATTATTATGTCTTATTATATATACCCTATGGCAGGAGGAAATTAGAAGAGTAGCGATGAAGACTATCGGATAACATGTTCGAGGATTCATCCCGCGCGTATCCCATATAATAATACCTCATGTGCCTTACCCATATAACCAACTTAGATACAGTAAAATACGTATCTGCCTTAACACATTGCAGCTAAGAACCATCCCGCCACCTGACTGTAGACTGTAGAGTGTAGACCGTAGACTAGCTGACAGCGAAGTATACAGTGTATCTGTTTTTGTGTACCAGAAAAGAAAATCCTCGTTCACAGGCTGCAGTAGAGGGGCAGACATTTGAGGTAGCTGATCACGTAACGACCATGCCTGGCCTGGGGGCCGGGTTTACATGTTGCTGTTTGCATGTTGTGTGCATGACCATGCACTGATTGTTCCATTCGCATTGTGTTTTTTTTCATTCAAATCTCGTCGCAGCAAGGCAGCTTATGTCTGAGTAAAACAATGCAAGCGACGGGTGGAAACAGAAAAATATTATTATGTCTAGACATTTAATAAAAAAAACTTGCCCTATTTTCAGCCCCCTGATTTCCTATTCATAGTTCGTTTGTTTCTTTTGACAACTTGAAAAAGTGATTCAAGAGTCTCCTATAATGTATTAAGAATAGCTTAGAATGCACCAAATTGCACCATTCTTTAAAAAAAATTCTGGGGGAGCATGCCCCCGTACCCCCCTAGCATGGCGATTACCTACGGTCCTCGCATTGCTCGCTCCTCGCATTGCTCGCTCCTCTGTTTGCTAATTTCAATTTCAGCTGAAAATTTAATTTTCCAATCTTGTCCCTGCATATAATATAGCGTGTGGATCTCATCGTGAATTTTTTGATATGGCAGGTGAATGTTTGTGACTACAGGCCAGCCCAGTACACATCAGGTGAAGTGTTGGCAAACAGAGCCTGGACTGACAAGGTTAACATCATAGCATTGTACGTACTTCACTAAGCTTCACTAAACCGTAAATTTACACACCATTTACACAATTTACTCAAATTTATGGTTTTCCTATGAAGCGAATAAGACCGACAGTTAACTCGGCGTGGCTGCTATATTTGTAAAATGTTGACAACATAATACACATGCAAACGTAAACGCACACGCACATGCACACACACGCGCACACGCATGCACACACCCTCGCACGCACACACCCTCGCACGCACACACACACGGAAAACTATCAAGAGATGTCATTCTTCATGCTCGCCCCACAGGAGGAAGAGACCATCGATGCCCTTTAACATGTATGACAGCGAGAGCGGTGTGGACAGGCGAAGCTACGCGGGTCGATACCTCGTCATCGCGGGACTACCCTTGAACCCGCACGGTCGCACGGGGATGACAGGACGCGGCAGCCTCGGCTGCTGGGGTCCCAACCATCGGCTTCACTGCATCGTCACCAGGTAGGATTCCGGCTCCAGGTATGGTGTAGTTGAATCCAACCCCAGGTACAGTGTAGTTGAATCTGGCCACAGGTATGGTCTTGTTAAATCTGGCCCCAGGTAGGTGTGTTAAATCTGGCCCCAGGTACGATCTTGTTGAATCCAACCTCAGGTACGGTCTTGTTGAATCCAATACCAGGTACGGTGTCATTAAATCCGGCCCCAGGTACGGTGTTGTTAAATCCGGCCCCAGGTACGGTCTTGTTGAATCTGGCCCCAGGTAGGGTGTTGTTGATCCAACCCCAGGTACGGTCTTGTTGAATCCAACCCGAGGTACAGTGTAGTTGAGACCAACCCCAGGTACAGTGTAGTTGAGACCAAACCCAGGTACGGTCTTGTTGAATCTGGCCCCAGGTACGGTGTAGTTGAGACCAACCCCAGGTACGGTGTAGTTGAGACCAACCCCAGGTATGGTGTAGTTGAGACCAACCTCAGGTACGGGGTAGTTGAGACCAACCCCAGGTACGGTGTAGTTAAATATGGCCCCAGGTATGGTGTAGTTGAGACCAACCCCAGGTTCAGTGTAGTTCAGACCAACCCCAGGTACGGTCTTGTTGAATCTGGCCCTAGGTACGGTGTAGTTGAGACCAACCCCAGGTACGGTGTAGTTGAGACCAACCCCAGGTACAGTGTAGTTGAGACCAACCCCAGGTACGGTATAGTTGAGACCAACCCCAGGTACGGTGTAGTTGAGACCAACCCCAGGTACAGTGTAGTTGAGACCAACCCCAGGTACGGTCTTGTTGAATCTGGCCCCAGGTACGGTCTTGTTGAATCTGGCCCCAGGTACAGTGTAGTTGAGACCAACCCCAGGTACGGTGTAGTTGAGACCAACCCCAGGGATGGTGTAGTTGAGAACAACCCCAGGTACGGTATAGTTGAGACCAACCCCAGGTATGGTGTAGTTGAGACCAACCCCAGGTACAGTGTAGTTGAGACCAACCCCAGGTACGATGTAGTTGAGACCAACCCCAGGTACGGTGTGTAGTTGAGACCAACCCCAGGTACGGGTGTAGTTGAGACCAACCCCAGGTACGGTGTAGTTGAGACCAACCCCAGGTACGGTGTAGTTGAATCTGGCCCCAGGTATGGTCTTGTTGCACGTTGTGTACACCGTTGTCAGTTGAAGTGACCTCAGCATCTTTAAGAGAGTAGCTATGTCTATAAGGTGATGCATCCTGTTATAATCACTTATGATGCATCTTAAGGTCGATCGTTATGTCGTCGGATGAATTTCACACCGTGCTGACACAGACTTTATTGGCTACTGTGGAAAATTTCGATTTGCAATCATTCTAGGTGGAAGAGAGATGGGCAAGAGGACATCTGCTTGAACGATGGTGCGCAGGTTCTGGAGTTTGTTGCCGTAAAGATGCAAGGCAGCCAGTTGTGGGAACTTCCTGGGGTAAGACATTCTTTGCAAGCAACCGTGTACATAGCCACCTGATCGTTTGGTCGTTTCAATAAAACATTATGTGTTTTACACAGTCATACATATGTAACTTCGAGCTATTTATTTCCTGTTTTGCAAAGCCACCCGACTTCAAAAACCATTGAAATTTTGGTAGGCGTGCTTGGCCATTTGGAAATAACGTGTCAAAAATCTTAAAAATTTTTTGAGGTGGGCCTGCAAAATGTCTATTACATAAGCAACAACATTTCGTATAGATATGGCTAGAATTTATGTATTTTTAGCAGTAGATACAGTGGACTATTCTTTCTCTTCAATAATGTAACCATCATTACCTCACAACCCACACCTATGATGTTCATACGGGACCAATGTATGCACAAGATGGTGGTTTTAGCATTTTCTCTGTTCGTTTCTTTCTGTTGCTGCTCTTGTGTGATATTAGTATTTGCTATTTCAGGGATTCCTGTCCAAAGGGGAGAGATCAGATATGAAGACCGCTGCAAATGGTTTCATGACGAATGTGCTTGGCATAAACGATGATGTCACCAAGAAGAGTTTACAACATGCTTTCAATCATGGAAGAGTGGTATGTGTGCCTGTTTGTGCACCAGATACAGATTGGCTGCAGTATTTTACAGCTTCTTCAATGTACACGTGCATACGCACAGACTCGGTACCTTTTGTACAGATGTTCACCTTGTAATAAGAGAAGACACTTGCAGAAAGCAGTGATAACTTCTGCTACTCAATGCATTTAGTAACTTGCATCCTGTTTGCAACATTGGTAATATATATGTACATACACATATACGTATATACATATATAATGGCCCTTCATACATGTCATCTGTCACGACACTATTGTGACAAATGATGATTTGGCAGAAAACAATTAATATCACTGCAATTACAAAGTGCAGTAATTGCAAACACTACTGCAATTATAATCAAGAGTTATCGCCTGGAAATCACCGATGTGCGATGTGTAGATGATGTATGCAGCAGTTTTTTCACGACATGTTCAGATATGTGAAGGTTACGTGGACGACCCCCGCAACACCGACAACGCTTGGGTCGAAACAAAGGCCGTCAACTTTCACTACGAGCCGGAACCACCTTTCACGATCAACGTAAGCTGCATCTTATGTTATTTATTATATGTTATTATACAGAAGCGGTTACATGCTAGCTAGGTCACCCTCAACACGTACAATAGTCAGCATGCACTGTTGCGTAAACAATGTTCACCTGCTAGTGAAGGATGTGGTGAAGACAAATTTTGTGGAGCATCGTGGATCGTTACTTGTACGCTGT